CCAGCCGTTTAGACATGAAGAAGTAACAAGCATACATACTCACATACAAACTTTTGCCTTTATAATATCAGTGTGATTATCGTGTAAGTTAATGAAGGGTAAAACCACGGTAATATTATCTATACAGTATTTTGACTCGGCCCTGTCCTTGAAATATCTGCCTACGGCCGCAATACGCATTCGTATAAAAAAATTAATTATTGAAGAGTTCAAGCAACCAAAAACAGCACAAAATCGACTATTGCTCTTTGCCATATTAAATTATATAGGTATCTACTTAATCCAATCAAATATTCACAATACAAACGTTTAAGCACGGCTAACTGCTCTTAAAAAGCAATTTTCGGTCGTCTGACCGGGTGCCGCGCGAAATCGAGTGGTGGTGGTATGACACGCTTTCCGACCGTTTGTATGAAGATAGAATACTGTATAGATAATATTACCGTGGTAAAACTGCGTACAGATTGCGCGTTTCAGGGTACCCATAGCCGACTACGCGATCCCTGGAATGCCAAAGAAATACTTGTGGCTACGGGTACCCTGTACGAGTAGCTATCCGTAGGTAGTTTAAATCCGCAATCTCCTTGGATATTTTATGAGTCTAATGTTATGTCGAAGTAATGAACTGCGCTATTGCACCATTACAAATGACTCTAACCATAAGCTATTAATTTTAATTGATAAATAGAGACAACCTGTTCATAAACAATTTTGTAATCAAATATTTGTCTATGGTACCATATTTATTGTTGTATGAAATGTTTGATATTATTAAACGTCTGTGTTTTTTTAAATATCACTATCACAATCAAACACCTATATATGCAAAAAAATATTTTTTTTAGCTTTCTTATTATGATTTTGACCCCAATTACACTTAGGTACGGTGGGTGGGATAATTTGCCACGATTAGTTTAACTTTTTTAAACCTAGAAAAAATTAATAATATTTACGATAACTACAAAAAACATTTTTAATGCAGAGAATTCGGGGTAAGTAACGACGCGAGTGATGTTTATTGTATCGCAAGTCTAACTACATACATGCTATGGTGGCCGCTTGCCATAACAATGGTAAGCGGTTCTGTAAAAATTTGTAGATACGCAACATAAACCGCCGCCGTTTTTAACACACTTTTATTAGGTCCACTTGTATGAAACTAATTATGTAATGAAATCTAAGAATCTGAATTACACGCACTTCTAATTCTTGAATCATCATGAAACTTGGCAATTATATGTAGATTAGATGACAATATAATATTATGGTACCATTGAGCTGGTCTGATGATGGGACTCGAAGGTGGCTGATGCAACCTTGGACTGTCTACTAGTAAACATATCGAGTTTGGGCTCATTGGATTCGCCTTAACGTATTCTTTTCACTTCTCCTGATGACGAGGACTTGACGATGGACTGGAAGGTGGCTGATGGACCCTGGGCTGCCTACTAATAAACAAATCGAGTTTGTGCTCATGACATTCGTCTTAACATAATGAAACTTTGCAATATATGTAGATTAGGTGACAATACAATATTATGGTACCATCGAGCTGGTCTGATGATGGGACTGGAAGGTGGCTGATGGAACCTTGGTCTGCCTACTAGTAAACATATCGAGTTTGGGCTCATTGGATTCGCCTTAACGTCTTCTTTTCTCTTCTCCTGATGACGAGGACTTGACGATGGACTGGAAGGTAGCTGATGGACCCTGGACTGCCTACTAGTAAAAATATCGAGTTTGGGCTCATTGAATTCACCTTAATGTATTCTTTTCACTTCTTCTGATGACGAGGACTTGACGATGGACTGGAAAGTGGCTGATGGACACTGGGCTGCCACTAGTAAACAAATCGAGTTTGGGCTCATGAGATTCGTCTTAACATTATAAAACTTTGCAATTATATGTAGATTAGGTGACAATACAATATTATGGTACGATCGAGATGGTCTGATGATGGGACTGGAAGGTGGCTAATGGAACCTTGGACTGCCTACTAGTAAACATATAGAGTTTGGGCTCATTAGATACGTCTTTATATGTACTGTTTATTTTTCCCGATGACTGAAACTAACGAGAGTAAAATAAATTAATAGTTTAAAAAACTAAAAACACGCTTTATTTACTGCACTAAAAAGCCAAAAACAATGAAAAGTATACTCTCTGTTTACTTCATTAGGGCCTTAGAGTTAGCCATGTTTGTAGTTTAATATATAATTAAAAAAGCGTGGAGCGCTTCATTATAAAATTTTAACTGAATAAAAAAATAAAATTTTGGCTGATTATGAATCACGTAATAAATTAATTGATTTGATAAATATTGCAATGAATAGCGCCCCACGCTTTTTAAGTTATATATGTATGTTAAAATAAACTATAAACATGGCTTACTCTAATTCCCTAATGTAAGTATATTTTGCTTTTTTTTGGCTTTATAGTGCAGGAAATAAAACGTGTTTTTAGTTTTTTAAACTATATTTTTTTTGCGTTAACTTAGAAGTTGAATTTTTCATACATAGCTTCAAAAGACTGTAGGCTCCACGCGTTCCCAAGATCAAGGGCCTTGATAGAGAGACGGACAGCAAAGTGATAAGAGGGCTCCGTTTTTTTCGTTTTATAATACGGAGCCTTAAAAAATTGAACTAAATCGCCAACGAATTTACGAATTCTCAGCTTAAGAACAAAAAAGAGGGGGATCCCCCAAATAACCATGTCATTCAACATCGAGGACCGAAAAACACATTTTAAATTAACCATAATAAGGAGTGGAGGTGCGACCAAAGAGGTGTGGATAACTTTATTAATTCCCTGCGCTTCTTATCGAGTCGACGCGTGTTGAAAAGCGGCAACGAAATGTTGAGTGCATGCGCCCACGCACGCCCCTGATCGCGCGCAGCTATGCGGCTCGAGTACAACCGACCGTCCCACAAGCTGCGGTCAAAGTTAAACTCTTCAATCCCGCCCTTTACGCCTACGTAATAAGAACTAACGGCTTTGTAATTTCTAATCTCGCTCGCGAGCCCACGTGGGATGTTTATTATCTTATCTACCTGCTGTGCTATTTTCACACATTGTCGGACGTTGGTTTTGTAACAACCTGCTTGCATGCATTTCTATGCCGTCTGGCAAAAATACAAACATGACGTTGTGATTGTTATTGTTTTTCTTTCAAAAGGGGTTAACACCATAGAGACTACTTTATTTACTTCCTCTGTACATACCGTGTGCTCTAAATAGATAAGTTGATTACAAATTCAGTGCCACCGCACTGTAGAGATACACTGGACGTGACCAACATTTTGAGAAGAATAATCGCTAACCAAAAATTCTCCCGCCCTCGGCCCCGAAGTTATCGAACCAATCATTATTCAATTTCACTCGAATTATCTGGATGGGATCTCGGCATGTTTGCCACATAAATTCTAAGTGTCGACATTTTTTTAACGCCTCATGGTCTCAAATTGATTTAACGATGATAATGCATGTAATCTGTTCATGAAATATAATCTAAGTAAGTGATTTTAGTACGCTCAAGTTGTTAGTAATAAGACGATTTACAACACAACTTGATAATTGTTGAAGTTGCTAACGAAACACTTTGGCTGTAAATCGCTCAAAAATAATTACATATTACATCCTACGACTTGTATGTCTACGTATGTATGCATACTTTCGCGGTATCTATAACTTGCAAGGTTGGTACAGCATCGGTCATAGGAATAACTTTAATTGACATAAAAATAAATAGATGAGTATTTTTTAATGGGCAATGACGATTGTAACATGTTGTTTATTTTCCCTTCCCTTTTACTTTCCTATTCAATTACAATATCACAAAAAATGGTATATACATAATACATAATAATCTCGATAAATCATTTTTCATTCATGAACATCGATTAATCAGCTTTTCACACGTTGTTCAGAACGTGACATTCATCTTGTCCTTACGTTATCCAAAAATTGGAACGTGAATCCTTGTTTTAGATAAGACATGAGCAATATCCTGTATCTACTGTTGCGGTTTGTATTACAAAGAGGTCCGATCGAGAGGGGAATACGTGATGTGAATACAGAAGAATCACAGTAGCGGCCGTCCCAGAAATAAACGAGAAATAATTTAGTACACTCAAGATTTACTAATGTTTAAATAGCGAATTATTATGGCTATACAGCATCGTACATATATCTTAGTTACAAAAAATCATTTGATAATAAAATGCTTTGTATAATTAGAGTCCTTATTATAATTGAAATCAGATCAATAACTATAAGCGAATGTTTGACTAGACAACGATGCACGATGTTCTGGCCGTTTTATTCGGATGAACCTGCAAATGTTGTCTGGTTTGGAACTTATTTAAATTGATGAAATAGATGTTTATACACATTTTTATAAACTTATATAGTTTTTATCATTCAGCGAAACGTTATGAGGACCTGTGATTTATTTTATATACTTACTAGCTGACTTGTGAACTTCGTACCTCCCAAAAGTAATAATTTGCAATAGAATAATATTGCGACTATAAATTGAGATGTAAGCTATCCCATCTTTCAAATGGGATCAAACTGCACACGGTATGCAAATTTGAATAAAATCGATTAAGTAGTTTAGGAGTCCATCAAGGAAAAACAATGTGACGTGTAATCTTCTACTATGTAGATAAAATTCTCATGTGCATAATTGAACTACTCCGAAACGGCTCGACCGATTTTCGTGAAATTTTATATGCATATTCTGTAGGTCTGAGAATCAGACAACATCTATTTTTCATCCCCCTAAATGTTAAGGGTTAATGTTAACCCTTATTTTTTTTGAGCAAAGTTTTTTTTAATAGGTTTTATGATACATCACACAAAAATACATACAGCCCTAAATTTTCACCCATCTACCACCAACCCCTATTTTTTTACGGCGGTACGAAGTATGTTGGGACAGCTATTTTATATATATTAAGATTAGGTACCAAACCCATCAACGTACTTATTGTTCCCAGGACAGAGCAAGGTTTTCGGACACTAGCTGGCAAATCCACCGGTCATGGGCTCGGAACGGGGACCCACTGCCACTGTCGCCGCCACACGGCCGCGCGGTTACCGCACGGCTGCCGGTCGGGAACGGCGCCGCCATGCAACCGCCACAGACAGAAGTTAACAGCATCTACGACACTATAACGGTAAGTCAAAAACTTTGACCTTTATGAAATGATTTAATATTATATGACTCAATTTCAAAGTTTAGGATCAAATTAGGTGCACTTGCAGCAATTTTGCTAAATCTCTCAATTTAACTAAAACTAGTTGTAGCCCATACAATGATGTAAAATTGACATTGACGTTTTGATGTTTTTCTATGGGATAGATCTAGTTTTAGTTGAATGGAGATTTAGCAAATTTACTGCAAGTGGGCCTTAAGTACGCTTAAAGAGATAAGCATATTATTTAAAACTAATTAAAAAACAAAAAAGATCTGTTTAAAATAACCCCCTTACTAAAAAAGGAAACCAATAACACGGTTCAAGTTAAAGAGATACGCAATGAAAAGATTTTTTGAGGAGCCAATAAATCGCCGGTATTCAAGAAAAGTAAACCAGATTATTTCTGATCTGAAAAATGATAGCTTTTTGGTAGGCCTTGCAATTTATTGGCTAACTATACTTCTATAATCGTCTTTAATTATTCGTCTTTATTTAAGAAATCCGCAGAGTTAATTGTGTCTCCTAGCCTATAAAAGTCAATTTATAATCAAACTACAAATACACAGAGCTTTTATATTACGTCTGATATCTATGTACAAAGAAGAGGAACATCGCGAAACAGTGGATTGTGCGGACTGTAGAAAATTGACACTACATTTGTTAAAATTACATCCATCCCGCTAGTCGCTCTGCTTGACAATATCTACATTGCTCAAACACACCGCGTATGACGCCATCGGACGGTGTGACATGCATAGCAGATGCTTTAAACATTATCAACATAATATTGCATTGTTACTATAATTGGTTGATAATCTACAATGTCATAGCATAAGTGATGCAAATTATCAACACTACCGTACACGACATAGGCGCATTTGAATGTGTTACATAATATGTTATAATGATTATTTTTTGTATGTTAGGTATAAATAGTGTTGTTTAGCGTTTAATTGTGCCGTCTGTCCGTGTATTCCTTTATTTAAAGGCGAGAATTAATATGACATTGGATATTCTTAAAAGATTTTTTTACTAGAAAATATTCAACTCGGCGCAGAGTTCAGACGGGATTCGAACTCGTATCTTCTGCTATCTGGGCGGACGCACTATTTAATTATTCTAGCGATACCTTAATGGCTGTGTCGAATTACCTCTAGTATTTCTGTTCGCCATCAGCGTCATCTCTTTCCATTGTGGTGACCCCCAATGTCAAAGGAAATACCTCTACAAGTATTAAGTAAACATTGAAAAGGCAATTGCAGATTATCATAGTTCTATTTTAAGCATTTGACTGCTAGATATTTAAATCCAATTTTTTTTTACCAGAAAATATTGCAGCGGACGATGTGTGTTAGAATCCCGGGACCGAGTGAATATTTTTCTAGTAAATTCTTCTTTCGACTTAAATATCTAGCAGTTAAATGCTAAAATAAAATCAAAATTAGATAAGCTTATTTTTAACTTGAATTTTTGAAAAAAATATTTATATTTAATATAAAATATTTATACTTTTAAAAAGTGTTTTAATTGAATATAGTTTATGTTCCCGGGCATATATGTATTACACAATTAAAGTTGCCGTGCCAAATTAACTCACTGATCAAAGATCACAAATCTACTGAACAGTTCATGACATTATCGTGCAAATAGACGCGGCGGGGACTTTGTTTTCAAATATGTAGTGATATTATTTGAAAATGGCAGTTTGTATGTGGACTCTGTAAGATCTACCTAGAGCACATTATTTTTTAATAATACGGGAAGTTACAAAACCAAAGAACATAAAAATTATTCAATGAAAAGTTATTGTAAAAATATAAAATAAGATATGATGCAACATCTCTTATCTATTAGACAAGTCCGTCCGTCTGTGGTGCTGTTTCAGCGGCCAAACCGTAAGAGATAGATATAGATAATATTTAAGTTATAAGTTAAGAATAGTCTGATAAGACTACAAACAGGATTTGAGTAACGTAGCATTTCCGGTTTTCGAGAAATCACGAATTTCAAACGAAACCGCACAAAATCTCCGAAGTTCTCAATTAATTAAATACTTTTTTTTTAAAATCAGGTTATGGTGAACATTTGGTTCACTGGTTTGCTAGTTACCTATAATTTCAGTTTGTTTATGGCCAGAAACTTTGCTAAAATGTAAAAAGGATGTGGATTAGCTTAGCTCATGATGCATTTTGCATTTTTTTTACACTGGTAGGATTGGGAACTTCAGAAGACATCAAGATTATTCGATTGATGAGTTTCTCTAACATTTTTTTATGTCTCGGCAAAACTACCGTGAAGGTTTAGGAAGTAACCTTATAACTTCTGAACCTTGACATTGATAAAGACCTACTTAATTTAATGTCCTAATCTGCTATTAATAGATACGAAATTAGCTTTTTATTTTTGGGTTTTCGCAACTCTTCGTTACAGAGAGGTAGGTAGTATTCAAATCAAAAAGCATTGTATTATGGCAACTAATTATAGTTAATACACTTTTGTTAATTTGTTAGCTACAGTTGATGTTTCATTAGATACTGTGTTCTCATTCCGAAAAGCCATCCAGTATTTGTTAATGTTGGTCGTAATCGGTAACAGTATGGGCAATGTCTATAACTTGCACGATAAAGTACATTTCTCCTATTTGTGTTCAGATAAAGTCGAACTTTAGTATCGCAAGGTTGTTTAAATTACAATCTTATTTACCTACTTTAGTGATCACGTACACTTTCCTAAGCTGGCCTGGGAGGTAAGTAAGGTGATCATAGAATATGTTTACAATAATAGACTTTTCCGAGTGCATACTAAGCAAAAGTGTATCTATCGGTCAGTGTATAGTTTCTGTTTATTAATGTATCAACCGCATTCAGAGACGTCTATTAATTTAAAATTTTAATTAAAGTTGAAGTGGGGAATCTGTGCGCATTCATATTAGAAGTATACCTACTTGAATATTACTTTTTAGTATGCGTATTGTCCGCCTGATGGTAAGGCGGTCCTCATAGTGCGTGTCGGGTGACGGCGCAGGAGTATTGTCTGGTTTTTAGTGGCCCTGTTTAGGGCGTTAGGTAGGGCCCTGTTTATTTCACCCAACCACAGAGCTGAGGAGGAGTCCCGCATACCTTCTTCTCGCTCCCCCAGTGGTTGAAGGATGCGCAAAGCATTTCCCAGACACAAAAAAAGGGGCCACCACAGCCTGTAGACGCTTGCGATCATGCAATACCAAAAATATAACTCGCACCGGAACCATGACCCCGTGGAGCCCTGGAACCTAGGACTTTACTCAATGACAGAAACACAACACCACCGGAAGGAAGTGTTATTTTACTGCGATCTTCTGTGAGGTGGATGTTACTTCCCCAGACGGTCGCTTCATTTCGAGCGATAAACCCGCTATGTCTAGGGTTACCAACTTTTTTTCTATCAATATTTTCTATAGTATTTTCTAAGCTGTTACCTCTAAAAATATAGTAGAAGGCAAAAAAAAACGACCAAGTGCGAGGCAGACTCGCGCACCGATATATATTTATGGTTTTCGCAATTTTTCCTTTATCTGTGCTATTAGGCGTTGCTTCGTACCAAATTTCGTAAGTTTTGATTCCCTTGCGAGTTTCGAAAATTTGCGGCATAAACGGCTGTATGTTTTGATTGCGTTTTCTTAGAAGTTTGTTTTTTTCGCAGCTCCAAGGGACAGTAGACATGAGTATTTGATACTAGGGGCCCGCCCTCGCTTCGCTTCGGTGTAGAGCTGTAGTGTAGGTAGACTATTTGTATATTTCCAACACTCACACCAATTAGCCTAGCCCCATAGTAATTGGCGATTGGCTTTGTGTTATGGAATACTAGGGTAACGAATAGAATACATATACTGACACATATATAATATATATAGAAATACATATTTAACATCCATGACTAAGGTACAAATGCTCGTATTCATAATATGTACTAAGATTTGGCCCCAACGGGATTCAAACCTGGGACCTCCTAAGTAGGCGACGCCATGAAACCTGGCGTATATACTACTCGACCACGGAGGTCATCAAATCCGGTGTGATTTGAAATTTGTAATCCGCGGTAATCCGCGGTGCTATTCTGTACTTATTTTTAATAAAGTAAGTAAGCGTCGCAGAACTGTAAGATGACACGTCACCAACAGGAAGTACAAAGGTGAAGCAATAAAATAATATTTATCGTACTTATAAATAACAGATCACGTAAGTCTCTTCAATATATATATAATCATTATAATAATCAGGAGATTACCTATATTTGATATCATTAGTTAATGAAGTGCATTGAAATTATTTTGATTTAATTAATAACACTGATCGACTTTAAACGTGCGAAAACGAGCGTTTTTCGCAAATCGCAATGGCTTCATTGAAAATATTAATAAAGAAGGTATGGAACTTTTCGTCAGTAAGTGCAACATGGACTTAGTCGATTTTCATTAGAGGGTTAGCGTTCGCGAAATGACGTGATACCTTAACCTAATCAATATGTGCTTTTACAATCTTTAGAACTTTCAAAAGCTACCACCGAGATTTCAAACATAAGAACACGTTTCCACAGTGTTTGTTTTACATTCTCCACAAGCTAGCTGCATTAAACAATCTAGTGCGGAGTTGATGGACGTGCGTACAATTTGAGCGCAGTCAAGAAAATTGAATGAAATAAGAAGGTGGTTGGCGGGCCGTGGTATTAACTCGTCAGACGCGGCGCGTGCGCACGTATTTAGTACTTACTTACTCAGCGCGGCGCTTGCCGACCAGTCTACGAAGAAATAGCAAGCATAGCTTAAAATACACAGTATAATATAATCGTATTGAGCTATGGCTAAGGTAGAAATATAACGAATATTCTACGGAGATTATATTCACAACCCAATTCGTCACTCAGTGGTTTCATCGTAGAAAAAGTAAACAACGCTAAGTCCTATATTTACAAGATTGATTTAAAGAAATATTGTTGCCCATTTA